CACTAACCAAGGAGAAAAAGATCTGAGTAATGAATTAGGCATGAAACTAAAATTAGAAAAGCAACAAATTTTAAAACCTCAATTAAATACCAATAAAAAAGCTAAAAATCAATGAAGACATTAATAAACTTGAAAGTTTAAAAAAAACCCACTACATTAATAAATAAAACTATGTACTGGATTAAAAAAAAAATAGATATCATTATCATCATCATTGCTAACATTCATACAACATGTACTATGTGCCAGGAACTAGTACTTTACAAACATTCTCTTACTTGATCCTCACACCAACCCTGAGAGATAGGGACCATTATTATCCTCATTTTAAAGAGAAGGAAACCAAAGAAAACATTCACAAAAATTAAACCATCAGCTATTTGGTTTTTTTTCAATGCAAAAGAACAAATTACCAGTATCAAAAATTAAATAAGCAGAAAAAAAGCAAAAAAGGATATTATTAGAAACTATTTTTTCAACTACAGGCTAATAAAATCAACAACTTAAATTAAAAGGATAAACATTTGCAAAAACATAAAACGGCCCAAGTAACAGAAGAAAAAGACAATTTAAACAACTAAATCTCCTAAAAAGAAAGTTGAAAAAGCCACAAATTAATTCCAAAAGAAAAATTTCCTGTAATAAACAGATTTACAAGCAAATTCTAGCAAATATTTAAAAAACAATTAATTCCAATATTACAAAAACTATTCACAAAAATAGCAAAAAGGGATTATATCAAATTTCTCCTATGACACAAATATTTTCTAGATAAGAGGTGTCAAATACAGAGTCCACAGATCTACAGGCCTGCAACACTCCTCAATGAAACACAAAACTAGATTAAAATGTAACTGGGAAGTTTTTAACAAAATAAATAAAAATGCAAAAAGCAGCCCACATGATTCCTTATATATAGATTATTGGTGGCATTTTCATTTGACTTTGACACCACTGGTCTAAATAGCTAAACCAGAGTCATAACAGAGTAAGAAAACTATAGACCAATATAACAATACTGATATACAAATTTTCAACAAAATATTAAAAAAGAGAATTCAACAATTTATCACAAAAATTACAAAAATGACCAAATTATATTTGTTCCCAGATTGTAAAGTAGGTTCAATATTAGAAAAATTATTACAAAACTAACTGACCATATTAATAGCAACAATCATATAATAATATCAACACACACAGAAAAATACTTCTACTAAAGACAACACTCATTTCTGTCAAAAAAAAATAAACAAATTCTAGAAGATACAGGAATAAATAGGCTTTTCTTTAATATGATAAACAATATATATCTAAAACAAAGAGGAGGCACTATATGCTATAGGGATAAACTAGTGGCCTTTCAAGGGTGAAACGAGATTGGACTAGTTTTTTGGCCCAGTCATTATGAAAAACAATTTGCTACTATATCCAAAAAGTCATTGAACTCTGCATATCCTCTCACTCAACAACACCACTACTAAGTCTATACCCCAGAGAGATCAAAGAAAGAGGAAAAGGACCCATATATGTAAACATTTACAGCAGCTCTTGTTTCTAGTACCAAAAAACTAGAAAACACTTAGGAACAATTGAACAAATTCTGACATATAAATGCAATGGAATACTACTATAAGAAATGATAAATTCTCTCCCATCTCATCTCAAACTCCTTCCCTCATGTCCCAGCTAAAATCTGGCCTTCTTCTACAAAAACCCTTTCTCAACACCCCTTAATCACAGTGCCTTCCCTCTAAGGATTATCTCCTATTTATCCTGTTTATGTATTGTCTGTGCTTGGTTGTTTTCATGTTTTCATGTTTTCTCCCCTATTGGACAATGAGCTCCTTGGGAGCAGGCAATGTCTTTTGCCTTTTTTTGCATATCCTGCATTAGCACGGAGCCATGCCCATAGCTGGCCCTTAGTAAATGCTTGTTGACTGACTGAAAGGGATAGTTTCAGAAAACTCCGAAAAGACTTTTCCGTAAAATGAAGTGCACAGAACTAAGAAATCAATTTATGAAATAACAATATAGTTATGAGAAAAAACTTTTAAAGACTTGCAAACTCCGGCTCAGATTCTTATAACCTAGCCATGGGCTCAAATTCTTACAATCAAGCAATAGCTCACTAATGTTCAGTCTTCTTAAGAGTCTGCCCAATATGACGAATGTTCTAATAAACCTGGTCTTTGGCTGAAAGAAGGCTTGGGTCGAATTCTTTCGGACAGGACCCGTGCGTTCTGATTTTGGGGTCCCAGCACCCCTAAACCCTAAAACTCAACATTTTGGTGACCCGTATGGGGAAACTTCCTCACCCTAAGTTCCTCTCCAGCCAAGACTGGAAGGTATGTAAGCCTCCTCCCTTTCTTTCTTGCTCGGCACCAAGGCTTGGAGGTGCTTTTCAGGCAAATAGTTACAAGGCTGTCTTGAACTCAGCCTGACGCTCTCAAGCTCTCAGTCCAGTGATTCTGTTCAATCATGGACCCGGGTACCTTCTGCAGCATAGAGGACAAGGACGGACTTCCTATCTGGAAGCGTATGCCCAATTCTGTCAGTTCTCTCAGCGCTAGAGAATTGGAAAAAATATAGTTGTGTTTTGGTTCCCTGGGGCTTACTTACTCCCTTCCCTCTACACCCCTCAATAATCCTCCATGGAGGTTACGTTAGAGGTTAAGTTAGAACAGCAAAAAATATCTTAGCAGATTCTGGAAGTTTTGTAATCAGTCGTTAAGTGGTGTTTCAAAACTGTACAACCTGGTCATTCCCTTCCCTTAAATCAAGAGAGTATCTGTTAACTCCTCTCATAGGAGAAGAGAGTTTTACCCTCTACCCCTCACTTTTGATTTTATCCTCCCCCCACCTGGGGAAAGGAAGGACGGGGGAGGGGCAGCCGCTACAGCACAGGCCCCACTGGCAATGACCTTGGGCCCTAGGGCAACCTTTGCCTGGAAGCTTCACCCAAGTTCAGCACATCCTGCTCAAGGTAAAGAAGCTGGCCTCTGAACTTGTGCAAGCACACTCTTAAATGTGCAGTTTTAATTGTTAATGATGAGATGCTGACTCTCTGTGTAAAGTAATTTGGAAATGAATTTAACAAAATTGACGTCACTTGATTGGTAACTGGTTTTTTTCAAGTTTCAAACTGGTGAACTTTTTGTATCAGTTATGTCAAGCAACTTTTCATAATTTGGTTACCGCTAAAATAATTTGTCTATTGTTGGTTATTGTTTTAATGTGTGAACTTGCCAAAAAGCTTGTTTGGGTTTTCTCTTGCTGAGAATTTGCAAGTATATAGAAATAATCTCAAATGATTGGCTTTTTACACCAGGACAAATTTAAATTTGAGATGTAAATCCTGGAAAAGTTTTTCCTAAGCTGTGATTAGTGAAACTTGCTGTCTGAGGTAAAAAAGCTCATGATTTTGAGTTGTCTAATGGGTCATAATAATCCATCGATAAATCAAGAATCCACCATCTGAAAAGCTGAGAGGACAATTTTAGCCTCAGTCTAAGATGGGATCCTCCTGACTTAGTTTCCCCATTATGTTCCTTTGAAAGGGAACGTCATCCACCTGGCTATTCCTGTGTCTGGCTATGAGGTGGATTCAATACTGCATGGTTGGAAAACTGAAATATCTGAATCCAAACAGAGCTAAGGATGCCTTATCCTCTCATATCTGCACCCTAAATCTAGTCCCTGCTTCATATCTGGGCCCTACAGTCTTTTCTGTCAGATTTGTGTCCTCCAGACTACAAGCCATCCACCTACAGCTGGCAGCAAACAGCAGGTACCAGCCAATGGTCCCCCACCCTTCCTTGGATGCAGCCTGTGCTTGGTTCCAGTCAGCCTCCTCTTTGGGACCCCCCTCGAGGCAGGGACAGCTGTATGCCCCTTGCCAGCAGGAAGCAGTTTCAGAAGCCAAGACCTTTCCCTCTTAACCCAAAAGAATTTGGGTCCCATCTGTTTGAGGGGGGAATGATGAAGATGGGAGCTAGACTCCAAAAAGGAAAAAATCCTAGACTTTCCCACATGGCCAAATCTCTGGCATCTGCCTGAGGTTATAATCCCATCAACTGACCCTTCATTGCAGCTATACCCAATCTCCCCAGTCTATTACCCTTAACCTAGCCTAGCCCTCCCTATGGCCCTTGGCCATTTCCCACACTTAATCCTAGCTAGGCTCCATGGTCCAGGTCCCAGGAGTTCTGTTCACCCCAGCTTACTGGCCACTCCCATCCAGATCTTCCTTAGACCCCTCCTCCAGTCACCCCAAACTACTTGGCCACTCCTAGATCCCTCCCACAGTCTTTCTGTATATAAGGTCCATCTTGTCTCCATTAAGATGCTCAGATTCTTAAAATCTAGCCACTGCTCAATTCTTACAATCTAGACAATAGCTCACTAATGTTCAGACTCCTTAAGATGGATGTTCTAATAAACCTTGTCTTTGGCTGGAAAAAAAAAAAAAGACTTGCAAACTCTGAACAGTGCAATGAGCAACCACAGTTCCAGGGTATAGATGATGAAGCATCCTATTTACCTCCTAACACAAAAGTGATGGACTCAGGGTGCACAATATATGTCTGGTTTTATGGACATGGATATTACAGGATTTCTTTTGCTTAATTATGTACAAATGTATACTTCTTATAGGGGTTTTAGTTTTCTTTTTTTTAAAGGGGGTAAGAGGAGACAGGAGGGAGATAAAACAGATTTTTGTTCCTTAATAAAAATTTAATTTAAAAATAAAGAATAGCTAAATAAATAAAGTATGGTCTAGCTAAATTCAGACTTGGCTCATAACCGAAGATTAGGCAAAAGTAGACTGATTTTTCTGGAAAAAAAAATCCAAAGACTTTTTAGTTAGACACAGAGAGGTTCTCAACCACTTCAATGAAAAAAATAAACCAATGAAAGCATAAATCTCTTTGTAAGCACTATACTTAGTAGTATTATCACTATCACCATCACTATTTATAAGCAATTTACATATTTACCTGATGATGCTGAATACTTTTTATGTTGCATGAAAAGTTCTGGTAAAGCTGAAATTTACTGATATCTTTCTCTCTTTCATTCTTGGATGACACCTTTGCCAAGGATGACTGGATACAAACATACCTACGTGAGCACCTATAATGCACAAAGAATAAGCAGCTAAAAATAAATGTGCCAATGCAACAGTAATAAAAGCATATTAGTAGTTTATAATAGTAGTCAAAACACCAAGGAATTATTTTCAGCACTGTCTTTCATATTCAAAGATGATGTTCAATGGAAGAGAAGCTTTTGTGTATTTGTCTCAGAAACTGGAATAGGTTGTGCTTATCTATTTATGATCTCACCTGGTCCCTCTTTAGAGCAATAACAGGCCTGGATGAGTTCAAAGATATCATCCACAGTCATGAAATTTATTAAAGATAACTATCTCATAATTATATTAATAAACAATAACAACTAGCATTTCTATAATATTTTAAGGTTTGCAAAGCACTTTACAAATACTATCTTATTTTATCTTCATAACCACCCTGAAGCTAAGTGCTATTAATATACCCATTTTATAAATGAGGAAACAGAAGCTAACAGAAGCTAAGGTTCTTGGCCCAGGGTCACACAGCTAGGAAGCTTAAGTGTCCAAGGTCAGATTTGAACTGAGGTTTTCCCAACTCCAGATCCAGCAACTCTATCCTGACAGTCTCTTGTAAAACACCTTGTTCCAGTGGCCTCTTTATCATCTAAATACCATGATTAACCCATTTAAAAACAATGCCTACTCTTATGATACAGGAATCAAAAAGAAGACATGAGAGAGGTTCTGACACAAATTTAGAAAACTTAACCATATGGCAGGAATATATGAAAACTATTTAGAAATGTGTTATTCTGGGGTATCTAGGTGGAGCAGTGGATATAGCACCAGCCCTGAAGTCAGGAGGACCTGAGTTCAAATCCAGTCTCAGAACAGACACTTGACACTTACTAGCTGTGCCACCTTGGGAAAGTCACTTAACCCCAACTGCCTCACCCCCCCCAAAAAAAAGGTGTTATTCTCTCCATTCAGCTCTGTAAAATGTAAACTCACACAGTATCTGAAAAGTTGAGTTCATAATGTTGAGACAAACCTTTAGAGAAGAAACAATAGTTATCTATACCAAAAATGAGCTAAACAAAGCACATGCAAAAAAATACAGTTAAAAAGATTAATGTCTGAGAGACAAAATGACATTAGTGTATATATATGGCCTTAAAGTCAGGAAGCCCTGGGTTTCAATCATGCCTCTGATACATGCTGGCTCTATGACCCTGGGCAGGCCACACAGTTGAGATAACTCCCTAAGACTGTAAGGCAATGACTATGAGCCAATCTGGATTCCCAGAGGGAGTGTCCTCATCCAAAGTTCCCTAGACCAATGAAATCACAAGTCTGATTCAAAGGCATAAAAAAAAAATCCACTCTGAATATAAATTTCTGATATGAATTTATCTTCTAAGGATTAAACTAATCATGACTCTGTGCCACTGGCATTTACCAAAGGAGACCTAATAGCATAATCCCCCAGACCAAAAACCTATAATGTAGAAGAACATACAGTTTCCTGATAAAATCCAATGTGTCTTTATCTTTAGCGAACATGTCAGCTAAGATATGCTGCACTCCTATTTCAATCTCCTGGAGAGTTGAAAGTCCTTTGGAAGAAAGGTTGGAAAAAGAAAAGAAACATAAGATATTTTTCAGAGCCTACATACAATTAATAAATTTCTAGTCCAAATAAAACATAAAATAGACAAATTTTAAAAAGGCATAAAAGTATAACCCCCATGTTAAATCCCTCTAATTCCTATCCTCACTAACCTAAAACTGTCTGAAATGGAAGACTTCCCCAAAAAGCACCAGTCTCCCTAGTACTCTTAAAACTTTCCCCTAATGAGTGGGTCAGGAATGATTATACCCTTTTTAATCTGTTTCTTTCTCAAAAAAGTACTCGAGTCATGTTGACCAGAATCTCAGCTCAGAAAGAATTCTTAGGCCCAGAGCACCCCGCCTAATTATTTTGTGACCTTAACCAACTTTTCTTTCTTCTCTGGACTCCAGCTCTTCAATCTCACAAAAGTGTACACATGATACCATCAACCTCCTTCCTCCCACAAGTGATCCAGAGGACAAGTACTGGGAAGATCAGAAAATAGCAGGGAGTCTGTGAGAAAGACAATACCTGACTAAAAGTTGGAACCTTGAACTAATGCTCCTACTCTGTCCTTTTTTAGGTCCATGAAAAAGCAAGCTCTCCTGATACAATGAGATAACTACTTCTAATACATTAATGGAGAATTCCCCAGGCTACATGATGACCATCTAGAAAAACCATTCATTGTTTGCCCATTTCTTGAGGTTCAAACACCTCACATGTGAGCTTATGAGGAGAACTACTCTAAAAGTTATCTTTAAGTAAAGTTTAATGAGGAACTCACAGACACAACAAAAATGATGGCAGAAAAAGGAAAGTAGGAACTCTGAGGCTTTCTTGTACCCATTATAGCAAAACATCTTAGTTTTCAGAGGATCCCAATGTGAGGGGGCTCATATTTGAAACCCTCTGCTCTAGCTCGAGCTTAATGTAACCAAACAATTCCTCAAGAGCCTAAAAGCTTGGCACCTGGATAAAACAAGACCTACAAGAAATCCAAAGCTAAGGAAGTAAGAATTTCTAAAAAATAAAAAATACAATCTCTTGTCCTAGTAACTAACTTTCTCAAGCTATCCACTCAACTACCAAGTACACTGCCATGAAGACATGGCTAAATATGTTTTAGGAGAGAAATAAGAGAAGAGAGAAACTTTGAGAGGCCTTTCAAAAAATTCATTTACACAAGGTTGTCCCTTACAAAGATGTCCACGCACGGCGTTTCTTTGAATGGACACCAAAGAATTCAGAAAGAGCCACTGGTGGTGGGGAGGGGAGAAAAGGGTATGGGATTTCTGTAGAAATATAATGCCGGTCAGATGGATCTCATCCCACTTTGCTCATGGTCAGTTATGTCTTCCCCTACTTGAAAAACCAATGAAATTTGTTTCCTACATATTCAAGAATAAGGTCAAAACAATATAGCATTGAAAAGGTAGTTGATTATATGAGAGAAAATGCATAAAGAATCAGGGTAGGAGTGAGGATAAGAACCTTTCCATTGAGACTTTATTTCTCTTGGTTTTAGACTATCATTATCAACCCCTCTATATTTCTAATTGGAAATGGGGGGGGGGGGGAAGAAGACAAGTAGAGCTGTATTAGGCCAGGATTTATACTGCTATTATTATAACTATTCTGTGTACCCACTTACCAATAAATCATAACATCATCACATGCCTAACAATATCAATGCCTAACAATAGTGTCTCCCTAACAATGTCAACTTAAGGAAATAGGATTACACAAAACCTAACTACTGGGGACATAATTTATAAAACAAAGTACTTTAGAGAGCAGAAAAGGCAAAACATACTCAAGCTTATTAGACTATGAGAAGAAAAAAATAAAAGAGGATAAAATTATGAATATTTAAAACTTCCAGCATTCAGTACTGAAAATAAATGCCCAGCCTTGATAGAGATCACTCTGCTCAGGGCAGATAACTCTTAATGCCAGGTCATGCACTATCACTTCTAGGCTCAATTATCATGGGCACAATTACCTGACAGTAACTATACTGCAGGAAAAATGATTAATTAAATGTTCCAACTTGCTGGAAAACTGTAGTGAGCTTGAAATTAAGATGATCATAAAAATAAGTAAATTCAAATTCTGTCTTTCCTTCTCATCCCAAATTCAAACAATTCTGCTTTGTCTTTTCATCATTTAATTGTATTTCTCTTCCCCTGCTCCAAAAAAAGACAATGTGTATGTATTTATACACAAATAGAAAACATTTTATCAAGTTTAAACTGCCAGAGGCCAAAGAAAAATCAGTCTGTGTTTACCTTCTAAAAGGTTCAACACAGAATACTGGCATTTTGTTATCAGGCTACCCTCTACACACTTGTAGTTGGAACTGTAATTGGAACTTGACACTGGAACTTCCTAAGGAATTAAACCACTGGACCAGAACCATCTTCTCAGATTGTTTAATCTTACAATTGTACAGAGTTTCTGTGTGTGTGCACGAGTGCACAAGAGATCTCATTTTCCAAGGGCTTTTCTATGTCACTTTCTTCTCTTTTATTCAAAGTGATGGAGAACAGGGGGCAGCTAAGTGGAGCAGTGGATAGAGCACCAGCCCTGGATTAAGGAGGACCTGAGTTCAAATTTGGCCTCAGACGCATAATACTTACTAGCTGTGTGACCCTGGGCAAGTCACTTAACCCCATTGCCCATCTCTCCCAAAAAAAGTGATGGAGAACAAATGGGGGGGAGGGAGTTATACTTTACAAGTAAACTTATGATACTTATGATATTGATAAAATTGATTTCTATGCATAATATGTATTCCAAGTCACAATGTGGTATACCACACTTACCTTTCACACTGGGCTTCACAAAGGACAACAGATTAAGTGTCCCTGGATTTTCAAGTAGTGCCTTTGCTGCTCCTTCTAACCCCAGTTGTTTGGCTCTTTGAGCCTTGGTACCTTTGCTCCCAGTTTTATATGGGGCTGACTACAAAGGGAAGATGAGAAAACATACCTTACCACTCTATGTTAAAAGAAGCAAAAACTTGAATTATTCATCAAAATTAAGGATGATCATAATAAATATTCCACCTAGAGAAGCCTTAACTGCCCTTTCCTCTCCCCATACTCTTTTTTCAAACAGGTTATATAATAAATGTTAACTGATAAAAGTGGCAATTTGAGGCAAGGATAAAACTGTTGTCTTTTCCCTCTGAGGGCTAGCGTGTAAAAAAAAAAACAAATCTCAATTTTCAAGAAACTCTTCAGTTTCTGGATTTTTCATAGACTCCTTCTTACGCCTTCTCCTTCCTGTTCCTTGACTTGTGTCCTTTCAATTTGTTAATTTCTTAATAAGTCTGGCAGAGATGAAGGAAAGAGAAGAAATTCTAGAAAACGTTACTTAATGTTAATCCTGAAGGTAAAAAAAGTGTCAAGTAGAGAAGGTTGAAGTTAATAATTCAAACAAGGTTTTCAAATTACACATGTTTAATGTAGTCATGTCATCCCTAATCCTCATTTCAAATGAGAATTGCCTATATATTATCCCTTACTAATCAACACTGATACTTCCTACATATTCCCCTAACACGTTCTATCAAAAGTCTGCTAGAAAGCAGCAAAGCCAATGGTCTTCTTCCACACACCTAAGCTGTATGAACAGTTGTTTCCCTTAATGATACAACCTTATGATTTCTTCACCTCTGCCTTGAAAATTCAAAAGCCACTTGAAATTTGTGTCAAAAAATGTAGTTGATTCTGCTAGCTTGTTTTTCTAGCAATAAACAAGAGCTACATGTTGCTTTCATCATGAAGAATCATTTATTAGTTCTTATTTGTACACAGAGTTGTGCTAGGCTTTGCACAAAATAAGGTACATACTGCATCTCTGTCCTCTGGAAGCACACAACCTAAGACAGGTCAAAGTGTTACCAAGAGCACAGGACATAAAAATGACCCATCACGTCTGACAGGTTGTTGGGATTGTGTTAACAAAGAAACTGGAGTGGTTTGCTATGTCCTTTTCCAGCTCTTTCTACAGATAAGGAAACTGAGGCAAACCAGATTAAGTGACTTGCCTGTGGTCACACAGCTAGTGTCTGAGGCCAGATTTTAACTCAGGTTTTCCTGACTCCAGGCCCGGTGTTCTATCCACTGTGCCACCTTGATTATCCCACAGTAAATATTAAACAAAGGCTTATCTTTCATAAAAGCCATTTATCTGCAGTAAGGATAAATGCACTGCCAAAATAACAAACAAGGCAGCTAGAACTCCCTGTTTAATCCTTCAAAGCCTTAGTAAGGCTTCATCTGTCCTATTATTCATTACATAAATAAACTGGCTTCCTGATGCCCCCTTTCTCGTTAACACCAGTCCAAAAGTAACCAAGATAAAATAAGTTTGGCTCTAATCAACCCCCCAAATCTGCACTGGGCCACAACCTGAACCAAACCTATCATTGGACCTAATCAAAGCCGGACAGTCGAAAACTAGGCAGAAAATCAAGTGCCAGAAATAAAAAAAAAAAAGGAATCAAAAACCTACCATCTCTAACATAATTTTCACTTCATTTGATTTTCTAAAGACTCCAAGTATGTTTCTGCAAGTAAAGAATTTGTTCTCTAAACCAGGCAAGATGGGAAGGTAAGAAGATGATATAAGGAACAGCTGGGAAGCGATAGGATAATGTAATTATTTATAATTCATTTCAATTGAACAATATTTGTATGTGCCAGGTACTGTGCTGGAAACCAGCAATAAAAAAAACAAAAATGAAAATAGTCTCTATCCTCAAGGGCTATTACCCCACTGCTTTATGATTTAGCTTAACACTTCATTCGATCCAGATCCTAACAATAACCCTATAAGGTAGATAGTACCAGTATTACTATTTCAATTTACAATTAAGTGTATTGTGATTAAGAAAGGTTAAGTGATTCACTCATTAACACAACCAAAAGTTTGGATTAGAACCCAAAACTTTTGAAACTAAGGGCAGAGTTCTTTCCTCAGTAGTGGGATTCCAAAGGATATTGGGAAATACAAGTGGGAATAAAATGAATAGGACAGGCCAGATGGACCTACTGCTGTCTAATGATTCTAGAATGTTGTATGAGCAGCTGACTGAAGGGCCTAGAAACCAAACCCTCTTATATGTCCCAATTCAGAAAGACATCTCAGACATTCAAAAAGGTGTATTGCAATCTCATTTCCAAAGCTTCATTCTAAAGATGGAAGTTCTCCTAGTTCTGTCTATACTTTTACCCACTCTATGGAGAAAATTATGTTGGAAGTTGTATTGAAATGGTGTAATGGAAAGAGTACAAGAATAAAAGTTAAAAGAACTACAGTCTACAGAATAACCAGAATTGTATCACTATAGAACAATACACACACACACACACACACACACACACACACACACACACACACACACACAAACGTGTACTTTTTTTTAAAGAATAAAATAAAGAAAAGAGAATCAAAAGTGGCAGAATTTTGAAGGCCAGAAAGAATAAATAGAACAGAGACATCTTATTTTCTTTTTTGTTATTTCTTAATTCTTTGGGTTCTGCCTTTTTAACGATTATAGAGCCTGGGTAAGATTTCACCTCTTATTTTCTAACTTTATATCACTTTTTGCTCATGGTCATGAAATACACACACACACACACACACACACACACACACACACACACGGGGTATGTACATGTGTATGTGTGTCTATTTTAAAAAGAATAGGGATCTAATCCCATCTCTACCACCAAACAATGTTACTATGGGAAAGTTATTTAGCCGCTCTGAGCTTTAGTTTTCTCATCTGAAATATGAACATCTTAATATCTGAACTACCTTCTTCACAAATCTACTGTGAAAAAAGTGCCTCCAGAATTCTGAAGGACTATAAAAATGTGCGTTATAATTCTCCACATTTGCCTCCATGTGGTAGTCACCTATTCAACCTGAGCATATTGTACAGAATCTTGCAGATTGTAGGCAATTAACAAATGTCTGAAGAATCTGAATTTCAGTCTATAAAATGAGAGGTTAGATTCTATAATCTCTAAAGTCTCTTCTTTCACTAACATGCCATAATTTCTGTTCCTTCTTAATCAAAAATTCAAAAATAAAAAGCTGGCCTGAATTTGAGGAAAGAACCAGTTTGTTATTTCAGGCCTTCCATTAAATACCAAGAGATCAATTCCCAGAGACTGGATTTGGTATTATGAGTTTCCTTTAAGCACATTCCCAACAAAAGCAGTTACTTCTTAAGCAAGAAACAGAAACAAAGAATTTCTTACCACATGGTCTAATTCTTCTAAAGTTCTACAATTTAACAAGGCTGTTAACAAGGATTCTGATAGTTTCCCTTCCTTTTTAATCTTCTGGATAGTGGCATGAGTCTTCTTTGCAACAGTCCTAAAAATGAAAACTATTTATTACACAATAACCATATATTCCAATAACTTTTGTTTTGTTTTTGTTTGTAAATCCTTGTTGTCAGCATACTTAATTCCTGATGGGGTTTATTGGAAAGTTGAGGGGCCTGGGTCCCTGCGTGATTTGCCTAAATATACACTCTTCCTACAGTATTTCTCCATCCCAAATTGCCTTCTTTCGAGCTACTTTTTCTTAACACTATGTTAACAATGGCACTGCCAGGGTAACAGGCAATGTTCTAAACATGGATCATTAAAAACAACAGAAGGAGTCCAAGTTTATAAAGATCAAAAGCAGGAGCAAGCATCATGTTAAGGAGAATAAGACAGTGTATATACAAAGACTGTTTCTGCCCAAAGGGCACAGCCTGTACCTTCTGTTCCCCTTCCTTCTAGGACCCCTGAAAGTCAAATAGATTTGAGAGGTTCTTCTCGATGAGGTGCCATTATACAGTTATGAAGACAGGCTCTAAAGAGAACCAGAAGAGCCTTGAAAAGAAGCTTCCTTTAAAATTTGAAACAAAAAATTGAAGGGAGAGGAGGCAGAACCAAGATGGTAGATTAGAGGCAGTCACCCAGCTAAACTCTCCCAACATTGCCCTCCAAACAACTTTAAAATAACACCTCAAATCAAATTTTAGAGCAGCAGAATCAATAAAAAGTCAGGGTGAGAAGTTTTTCCAGCCTAAGAAAACTTAAGAGGTTGGCAAAATTAGTCTGAGATACCAGGATGGATAACTGTCCAGAGCCCACATATGTGACAGCAGCAACAACTGCTACTGCAGCAACTTTGGAAGCTCTCAGCCCAGTAAGTAAGGAGCTTGGATAACTGGTCAGAAAGAGATCACAGGGGGAACCTTTACTGTCACCGGGTAGAGCTGGACACGGATTGGCAACTGTGTTACCCATACACGGTTCTGACTTGCAGATCCAGGGTGGAGAGGAGAGCTGGAAGTCCATTACAAGAGGGCAGAGGGCCTGATCACAGTTCTAAGGCGAAAAGACCACTAGTACCTGTGGCTGAAAGTGCCCAGGAGCCCTTCCTGGCTAAAGAGCAGAGTACAAACCAGCAGAGCGAGGACTACACCTCTCCCAGAATCACACCACCCTGGAGACACCCAAAACTTATAGCTCCCCAGAACTAGCTCTGAAAACAGTAGAACAAAAAAGACTGAAGCTTGGGACTGTGCCTCCCCACCCACTCCATCCCAGTAAGCAGAATGCAATTTTTAACAAAGTTCAAAGGCAAAAAAATAGGCTGGAAAAATGAGCAAACAACAAAAAAAATTAATTTGACTACAAAAAGTACTACACTTTGAGTACAAGACATAAACTTAGAAGAAAACTGTTGGAAAAACAGCTACAAAGCCTAAAAGAAAAATGCTAATTGGACCTAAGCCCAACAAGAATTCCTGGAAGAGCTGAAGAAAGATTAAAAGCGTAGAGGAAAAACTGGGAAAAGAAATGAAAGTGATGCAAAAAATAAAATAAAATAAAAAAGAATTAACAGCTTGGTCAAAGAGGCACAAAAAAACAAGATTGGCCTAGTGGTAAAAGGCATGAAAATCCACTTAAGAGAAGAACTTCTTGAAAAAGCAGAATTGGCTAAATGGAAAAAGAAGTAGAAAATATCACTCAAGAAAATAATTCTTTAAAAATCAGAACTGGTCAAGTGCAAGCTAATGACTCCAGAAGACATCAAGAAACAATCAAAGAAAGTCGAAAGAATGAAAAAATAGGAAAAAAAGTGAAATAGATCACTGGAAAAACAATTGACCTGGAAAATAAAGACAGGAGAAATAATTTAAGAAGTACTAGACTGAAATCCACGATCAAAGAGCCTGGACAACATATTTCAAAAATTTATCAGGGAAACCTGCCCCAATATCTTAGATGCAAAGAGTAAAATAGAAATTGAAAGAATCCATCTATTACCCCCAAAATGAAAACTCCCAAGAATATTACAGCCAAATTCCAGACCTCGCAGGTCAAAGACAAAATAATTCAAGCAGCCAGAAAGAAACAATTCAAACATTATGGAGCCACAGTCAGGATCACACACAAAATTTAGCAGCTTCCACATTAAAGGAGTGGAGGGCTTCAAATATGATATTCCAAAAGGCAAAGGAGCTAGGATTACAACCAAGAATCACCTATCCAGAAAAACTGAGTATAATACTTCAAGGGGAAAAAAAGACAGTTAATAAAATAGAGCACTTTCAAGGCTTCCTGATGAAAAGACCAGAATTGAATAGAAAATCTGACATAAAAGGCATAAAAAGGTAAACATGAAATAGTAATCATAAGAGTCACTACAGAGCTAAACTGTTTACATTCCTATATGGGAAGAAGGTACAATTAACTCATAAGAACTTTTATTATAAGGGTAATCCAAAGGAGTTTACATAGACAGAAGGCATAGATGTGAGTTAATTATGGTGGAATGATCTCCAAAAAAATAAAGAGGTAACAAAGAAGGATGCACTGAGAGACTAGTAAAAGAAGAAGTAGAATGCGGAAAATTTTCTCACATAAAAGAAGAACTCAAGGAAGAGCTTTTACAGGAGAGGGGAAAGACATGGATAAGAAATGGCGGGCAATGCTTGAACCTCACTATCATCAGAATTGGTTCAAAGAAGAAAATACATATGTACATTCAGTTGTGTATATAAATCTAACTTACCCAATACGGAAATAGTAGGGAAAGGAGAAAACAGAAAGGAGGAGGGAATGATAAAAGGGAGGGCAGATTAAGGGACACAGTGGTTAGAAGCAAAACAGAATTTTGAGGAAGAAGAGGATAAAAGAGGAAAAAAAAGAAACAGAAGAAAATCAAATGAAGGGAAAGACATAGTTATCATAACTGTGAATGGGATGAACTAACCAATAAAATGGAAGCTGATAGCAAAATGGATTAGAAACCAGAATCCAACAATATGTTGTTTACAAGAAATACACTTGAAACAAAAACTCACACAGAGTTAAAATAACGGGTTGGAGCAGAATCTAATATGCTTCAGCTAAAATTAAAAAAGGAAGGGGTAGCAATCAAGATTTCAGACAAGGCAGAAGTAAAAACAGACTTAATTAAAAGAGACGATCAGGGAAACTGCATTATGCTAAAAAAATGTTTACAGCAAGTTTCTCTGATAAAGGACTAATTTCTTAGAAATTTAGATAACTGCATCAAATGTAAAAGAATACAATTCATTCCTCAATTGATAAATGGTCAAAGGATATGAACAGGCAGTTTTCAGATGAAGAAACCAAAGCTATCTAGAAGTCACGTGAAGAAATGCTCTAAATCACTATTAATCAGAGAAATGAAAATTAAAACAACTCTGAGATACATGCTGAAGGGGATGAAAGAAAATTAGGTACACCAATGAACTAACAGTGGAGTAGTGAATTGGTCAAACCATTCTTGGGAACAATTTGGAACTATGCAAAAAAGGGCTATAAAACTGTGCATACCCTTTGACTGAGCAATATAACTACTAAGTCTGTATCCCCAAGAGATCAAAGAAAAAGGAAAAGGATCTACCTATATGTACAAAAATATTTTCAGCTGTTCTTTTTGTGGTAGAGAAGAACTGGAAATTTAGGGGATGCCCACCAATTGGGAAATGGCTGAAAAAGTTATAGTACATGATTGTGATAGAATACTACTGTGCTACAAGAAACAATAAGGGATGATTTGGGGAGGGGAGGGGAAGGGAGGGCAGGGAAGGGAAGGGAAGGAAGACTTGGCTACTCTGACCAATACAGTGATCCAAGACAATTCTATAGGATGCATGATGAAAAAATACTATATCCACCTCCAGAGAGAGAACTCATGAACTCCAATTGTAAATTAATATATAGTTTTCTCACTTTCTTTATTTTTCTTGCTCTTTAAAAAAAAAAATATGGCTAATAGGGAAATATGTTTTGTATGACTTCACATGTATAACTGATATCATATTGCTTGACTTCTCAGTGGGTGGGGGAGGAGGTAGAAGGGAGAGAATTTGGAATTCAAACTTTAAAAAGAAGAAAATAATAAATTAGAATGCTAAAAAGACAAAAAAATATATAAAATGCAAAGGAGAAAAAAGTTAACTTTTTTCAGCTAAAAACAAAAAGAAAGAAAGAAGGAAAGCTTTTTCCCCCACCTATGAAGGCCATTTGCTTTTCTAATTCGTAAAGGGAATATTCTGCTCTATGACGAAAGATAACATCAGATCTTAGAAGAAAACCCTTTATGTAAAAAAAATTTCAAAGGCATTACTTATGTAGGGAACAGTTAATAGAGTGATATCTTCATAAACAAATCTCCTGAAAATAAAGTTTTTATTTAGTCAACAGTATTTTAAAAAATCATCATAAATTATGCCAAGCAGAGGTTCCTACTAGCATATGCCATCACAAGAATACCTTATTAAAAAATTTCTATATTTTCCTATTCAAATAAAAAAATACAGAGCTGCAAAGTTTTAAAAACAAATATTAAAAATTGTTTTTAGGGGCAGCTAGGTGGCGCAGTGGATAGAGCTCCAGCCTTGGAGTCAGGAGGATCTGAGTTCAAATCCGGCCTCAGACACTTAATCCCGACTGCCTCATCAAAATGTAAAAAAAAAAATTTGTTTTTACATGTAACTGGGGAAAAACAAAATACTAAATAAAAGCTTAAAAAAAAAAGAAAGAAAAAGGAGAGAGAAAAGGCTTCATAACCATGTAGATTCCCCTGTGTAAATAGTCTTAATTCTGGATCATTTGTAGCTGACTATAGAAGAGTTATATGGAAAGGCTCTTTCTGTATTTCTTAAGCATTTATCTTTATCAGTCTAAATTATTGTTTAAATTTTTTTTTAAAATACAGAGTTAGTAGACCACTTGGCCATAGGCTAACATAGCCAAAGCTTACAAGTTTCTCTTAGGCACACAGAAATTTTTCCTCCCTCTTGTTAGCCAGTGCCTTCCTGTTATTCTCTTTTCTCTCTTCCTCAGTTTTCATGACTGGGCCCTCTCTCAGTTCTCCTACCATTCCTTCTCAGTTCCTTTCCCTGGGTCAACATCCATATTATGCCCCTCAACTAAAGGTATACCCTAACTTTCTACTGGCCCCTTTTGTCTTTCACTATACTTTAAGCAACTACGATGGTTTAATTGTTATCTCTATGTATGTTACTCTCAAATCTATATATCCATCCCTAGTCTCTCTCCTGACCTTCAGGTCAACACCACCAACAGTCTAATGGCCATTTGAAGTGGATACTCCACAAGCATCTCAAACTCAACACACCTAAAACTGAGCACGTTATCTTTCCCTCTAAAGCCACCCTCTTCCAAATTTCTACATTTCTATAAAAAGCACCATCATCCTTCCAGTTACGTGGGTTCACAATCATCAAATCATCCTAGATTCTTTATTCTCACATATCCAATCAGTCATCAAATGTGTTATTTTTACCTACACATCTCACATTACTTCTTGCCTTACGTATTGGCAATAAATTCCTAAGAGCTCTCCCTGCCTCAAGCCTCTTTAGTCTCCAATCTAGCCTCCACTCAGCTGACAACGTGACCTTCTGAAAGCACAGGGCTGAACATGTGATTCAAAGTCCCCTATTACCTCTAGAATCTAATACAAAACTCTAGGGACAGGGGGGAGAGAGGGGCACGGAGAGTTGGGGGAGACAGCTAGGTGGCACGGTGGATAGAGCACTGGCCCTGGAGTCAGGAGGACCTGAGTTCAAATCTGGACTCAGGCACTTGCTAGCTGTGTGACCCTGTGCAAGTCACTTAACCCCCACTGCCTCTTAAAAAAAAACCTTCAATCTGGCTACAACCTGTAGTTCTAGCTCTCCTTTCTGACTTGCATCTTTCAAGATTCCCTGGCTTCCTTTAGGACAGCTCAAATCCCACCTTTTATAAGAGACTTTCCCTGGTTCTTCCAGCCACTAACATCTTTCACATTATGAATATCTGCCTTCCACTACTTCTGTATATATCTTCTATGTGCATAGTTATTTACATGCTCTCTCTCCCATTACAACATGAGGTCCTCGAGCAGATGGACTGCTTTTTACTTTATATCCCTAGTACATAGGACAGTGGCTGCAGCACATAGTAATAATTACTTGTTGACAGACTAGCTAACACGATAATGCTTCTCTGGCCCTTGACAGTCCAGCCAAACTCATTTTCTGGTTTCCTCACACACCCTAAAATAATACTAAAAATGCTTACAGCACTAAGAAAAAGAAACTGAAGGAAAAAATACAGGCAAAGAAGAAAAAAATTATTGCTTTTTGCAGAGAATATGCCGTTATAGTACCCTAGAAAGTCACTAAAAATTGAAACAATAACTTCTGCAAAGTTGCAAGATATAAAATAGATCTACATAAATCATTTGCATTTTTGCATATTACCATCAGATCTCATGAGGAAGAAAGAGAAAAATACCATTTTAAATAAGCATAGAATACAACATATGGAAGAAAACCAACTCAGTAGCCTAATATTGGGTTAAGTCCAAACACCCCAGATACCAAGGCAAGAATCAGCTAAGATGCAATACAAACTACTAGGAAAACTAGAAAGCATTTTTGCAGAAATTAAATTTAGTACAATACCTCACGCTATAGTTAAAGACAAACTCCAAATGGATACATGACTTAGATATAAAGGGTTACAGCACAAACAAATTAGATGAGCAAAGAAGAAATTACTTTTCTGATCTATGGATAGAGGAACAGTCCATGACTAAAAAAGGGATACAGAAGATCACAGGAAATTAAATGGACAATTTTGATCACATGAAATTTTAAAGTATTTGCACAAATAAAACCAAAATTAGAAGAGAAACAGGTAACTGTTAAGACAAAAAAAAATCTTTGCAGAAAGCTTCGCCAATAGAGGTCACATTTCCACAATACATAAGAAATGGAATCAATTTTAGGGAAATAAGAGCCATCCCTCAATTGATAAATGGCCAAAAGATACGAACTGGCAGGTTCAAAGGAAGAAATCCAAACTATGAATTACTACAACAAAGAATGTTCTAAGTGTCTAATAATTAAAGAAATGCAAATCAAAGCAACTTTAAGCTTCTATCACACACTCGGCAGACTGGCAAAGTTGACAAAATAGGAAAATGACAAATAGTGGAAGGGCTGCAGGAAACAAGAACACTGATGCACTGTTACTGAAGCCGAGAATTAATTTAGTTACTCTGGAAAGCGTTTCGGAGCAACACCAAAAAGGCACTAAATGTTGCATACTCTTTGATTCAGCAACGTCACTACTAGTCCTCTAAACCAAAGAGATAAAAGAAAGAAGAAAATGATCTATATATACAAACATATTTATAATCGCTCTTTGTAGAAGCAAAGAATTAAAAACTAAGGAAGTGTCTATCAATTAGGTGATCACTGAACAAATTAGAGTATAAAAATATAATACTATTGTGCTCTATGAACCAACAAAAGGGATAGTTTCATAGAAACTTCTGAAGATTTGAATGAACTGATGCAGAGTGAGATGAGCTGAAACAAAACAATTTATACAGAAACACTGTAAAGACAATTAACTTTGCAAGCTTAAGGACTAAGATCAATATAATGACAAAACAATTTTCTAGAGTTTGATAAATGATGAGGCAAGCTACCTATAAGAGGTAATGGACCCAAGGTATAAAATGAGACACTTTTTTTTTTAACATGGCCAAGGCCAGAATCTGTTTTGGTTGACTATGCACACTTATAATGAGAGTTCTTCTTTTTCTTTTCTCACTGGGGGAGGGAAAGGTGAGATGGAGAAAAAAATCAATGATTGTTAATAAAAAACTAAAAAATTCATTTTTTAGGACTATGCCTCATTTAATATCTTTACATGCAGCAAGTGCCCAAAACATATCAGAAGCTAAATAAAAATTTGTTGTAACAAACTGAACAATATTCTAAAACAAAAAGAATAAATTCACTCCAACCTTTTGAAAGTGGAGAACAAGAAGCAATCAAAATTTTGATCAAGTATAAGATCACTGTCTCTCAAATCCCTCCCAGCTCTAAATTCTATGATCCTAGAATTAAAATGTAATTATATTCTACATCATGCATGTAAAGTATTCTTGATATAAAGACCACAGCATGAACACTATATTTAATGGACAGTAAGAATGCTTATCACTGTCCTCAATATTCAGAAACAATATTTCTAATAACAAATGGAAAAACACAAGAACAAAATAGCCACCTCCATAATATTTGCATAAGAAAATAAGAATATACTAATCACAAATACATATTTGCTAAAAATCTTTAGACAAAAGAAAAAGGAAAGAATAAATCCTATCCCACTTCATTTTCAAAATGTTTTCCATTAAGGCTTTTATATAACAGAAACAATTATTTGATGTAATCTAAAAGTTTGTATATCAAATTGAATTTTGGATCAAAATAGATATCTCTGAATCTCCTGCTGGCACTCATACTTCTGCCCATCTGAAAAACCAGGTCTCAGGTAACTCTCAGAAAGAAACAGTACTGTTAAGTTATCAGGACTTGAAAATTTCCTCTCTCCGGCTCATTGGCTGCACAAAAAAAGTACAGAGGAGTATGACAAGAATGTATGTTCAGACAAGCATAGACTGAAATAGAATGCACCTGGACTTCTTAAGCCAACTATACTAATGCTATATCCATTCAAGAAACATAGACCTGGAATTTCAAAAATACATCGTCATTTCTTTCTCTGCTGCTCCTTCCTCTCATTTACCCATGACCCCCACTCTCTCCACAGGCTCCTTACCTCAACTCCTCGAGGGTTTGTTGTACTTCTCGTAAAGCATCAGCATCAAGATTGTTAATGAGCTCTTTTCGGTAACGGGCAATGAAAGGAATTGTATTATCATCATTAAAAAGGCAGATGATATTGGCACATACCCAAGGTTCAATATTAGTCCTTTCTGATAAAACCTAAAATGGATATAAGGAGAGATATTTAAGGTTTCAAAATCTTGAAATGTAACTATTTTATATGAAATATAAAATAATTTATAAATTACTTTTTTGACCAAATACGTAGTTACTAGAAATTTCTTGGTCTTTTTTTTTAACAGAAACACCACCTACACTCTAAATTAATATGCATAATTACTGGCATAATTACAATATTCAAAGACAATACTAATCTCCAAACTGGTTTGCTTATTTTTAAAAAATCAAATCTACGGTATTTTGTGGAATTTTTAAAATCATGGAGCTCTGTAAAAAACATCCCATCAGGACAAATGAGATTTAGAGATAAGTGCACATGGGAGAAGCAGGTAAATAAGTATGAAAGCATCTTTCCATCGTTTTTGTTGTTGTTGTTGTTGTTGTTGTTGTTGTTCAGTCAGTCGGTTGTGTCCTATTCTTCACGACCTCGTGGGACCATGCTGTCCATGGGGTTTGCTTGGCAAAGATACTGGAGTGGTTTGCCATTTCCTTCTCCACTGGATTAAGGCAGAAGGAGGTTAAGTGACTTGCCCCAGTGCTTTATCCACTGAGGTGCCTAGCTGCCTCCTGCCTGATTCCAAAAAGATTTCTTGTTAAATTAGGGGGGGAAAAGCACAAAAATAATAATTATTTCACCATGAACATTTAAGATATGCCAAAAATTAACAAAGACAACAATGCTATAAATCAACTGGAAAGTAGACACAAAATATATATGAACAAGCAACTCTAAAGTATACAGACAATAAACAGCTAAATGAGCCCTATAGGTTCTACGTGGAAATCTCATTATTCTGGGCATTTTAAATCCTCACTAGTATAGTTTCTAAATCTCACATAACAGAAAGCAACCACATCTAAAGCAGGAGAAACAAATCAATGATCTATCTCTGGGTTTCTTAATTTATTTTTATATCGTGAACCACTCTGGCAGTCTGATCAAGTCAACAACTAAGGAAGGGAAAAGAAGAGAATAAGTATTTATATAGTCTATTATGTGGTTTTTTATTTTTGTTTTTACAAATATTATCTCATTTGATTCTCACAATAGCCTTGAGAGGCAGGCACTATCATCCCCATTTTAAAGGATGAGAATTGAGGGGGGAAATAATTAAAATTAGTAATCAAGAAATCATTTATTAACTTTGCAGAGAAAAGTTTCACATGAATGATACAATCAGAAGCCGGACTGCAGACAGTTAAGAATGTAAGAGGAAAGGGGATATTTTGGGAAGCATAGGTGACCTAACAAATAAAATTAGTTCTGTGTTTAAAAAAAAAATACAACGCATAGTCTAATGGCACAAACAAGATACAAATTGGAGATAATTACAGAGGAGAGGCACTAGCATTAAGGGGGATCAAAAAGGGCCTCTTGTGGAAGATTGTACTTTAGCTGGGACTTTAAGGAAGCCAGGAAAGACAGGAGGCAGAGAGAAGGGAGAAAATTCCAGGCATGAGGAGACAAGACAATGAAAATGCTCAATCAAGAGATGTAGTATCTTGGGAAAGGAATAGCAAGTAGACGAGTGTCACGAGATGACAGAATATGCGAATGGGAGCAAGGTGTAAAAAGACTGGAAAGAAGGGAAAAGGCCAGGTTATGATAGGCTGTAAACTCAAATTGAGTATTTTATATTTGATGCTGGATATGATAGAGAGCCACTGGAGTTAATGGAATTGGGGAGAGGAGGGTTGTCATGGCCAGACCTGCACATTTTAAGATCAATTTGACAGTTGAGTAGAAGACAGACTGGAGTGAGGAGAGATTTGAAGGAGACTCAGCAGACTTTTGCAGTAGTTCAGGTGTGAAGGGAGGAGGACCAGCACCAAGGTGGTAGCATCATTAGAGAAGAGAAGTGGATATACATACGAGAAGTTCTGGAGGTAGAAAAGATGGGCCTTGGCAACAGATAAGTAGATTTGACAATCATCAGTAGAGTGATGATAATTGAATCTAAGGGAGCTGATGAGATCACCAAGAAAAACATGACGGGATAAGAGTGAATGAGGAATTGAGGATGACATGTACGTTACGTACTTGGGAGACTGGAAGGATGGCGATATCCTAGACAGTCAGAGGAAAACTAGAAATAGGGAAAGATTTAGGGGAAAAGATAATGAGTTAAGTTTTGGGCATGCAGACATTAAGATGTCTACGGGCTTGAGATGTCCAACAGGCATTTCAAAATATGAGATTGGAGGTTAGAAGACAAATTAGGGATGAATAAAAATACATCTGAGAATCATCTGGGTGACTGAGAGGATAGTGGTAGAAGAGAGGAATATTTGAAGGGAAAGAAAATTAGTTCACTTTTGGACACGCTGAGTTTAAGATATCTATAAGGCATCCAGCTGGAGATATCTAATAGACAGTAGGAGATGTGAGACTGGAGGTCAGGAAGAAAGTTAGGGCAGGATAAGTAGATTTAAGAATCACCAGTAGAGAGATGATAATTGAATCTGTGAGCTGATGAGATCAACAAGAAAAATAGCATAGAGGAAGAAGAGAAGAGGGCCCAGAACAGAATCCTTGAAGCCCACCATTACAGGGCATGACCTAAAAGATCCATCAAAGGAGAATGAGGAGGAACAATCAGATAGCTTGGAAGAAAACCATGAAAATCTAGAAAGAAAAGTACCAGAGAGTTCAAGAAGGATGAGAATTGGGGGGGGGGGGAATTAAAATTAGTGATCAAGAAATCACTGATTAACTTTGCAGAGAGAAGTTTCACATGAATGATACAATCAGAAGCCAGACTGCAGAGAGTTAAGAGTGTAAGAGGCAAGGAAATGGAGGCACTGATTACCGATAACCTTCTCAAGGATTTTAGACATTTACGAGAGGATATAGGGCAATAAGTAGTGGGAATGGACAGATCATATAAAGGTTTTTTTGCATCTAATAAAATTTCTGCACCCTGAAAAATGTCTTTAAATTAATAATCAAACACATAGGATCACAAAGGAAACCAATTATATTGAAATACAGTTTATAAAAATTTTAAACAAGTTACTAAAACCCAGGTTAAGAGTCCCTGAATTCTATCTAGATTTTCTTAATTGAAACTTACTCAACTTGGGACAATTCGTGTTTGTCTGCTGTTTTTTTTTTCTGCTAAGAAGTCAAATCAATTAATTAATAAATATTTATTGTGTTACCAGCAATATGAAAACAATATGCTAGGCTCCATTTTACAACACTAGTAGACTTCTTCCCTATCAAGTAGGGAAATAAGGGGAAAATAAGAGGAATATGAACAGTGGTGTCCTCTCTATCTACACTACACCAATTTTATTCCAAATTTCATGCTTCTGATTAACTGATAAGCTACATTTTTTCAAGTTACATTTCACAAAGTTTTCTCTTTGCACAATTCCTAGCAAGTGAGATGGAAGATAAGGAAAGGAGGCCCTATTCTTAAAGAGCACAAGCTCATATATTCAGCCATGTTCTTCAAGATCTTCAGTTCATCCAGATCATCTGCTAAATGAACTAGCTTCCACAAACGAACTACCCCATTCTTTCATTAACTGACAAATAATTCTCAAGGATTATATAAAAGGCACTATACAAAATAAAAAGATAGAGAAGATGCCAATATGAAGGAACTTATAAACGCTGACTTTCTCTTGGCATAGTAGATACAGCACTGGGCTTGAAGTCAAGAAGACCTAAATTCAAATCCAGTCTCTAACACTTACTAGCTGTATTACCCTAGGCAAGTCATTTAACTTCTGTCTGCCTCAGTTTCCTCATCTGTAAGACGAGGATAATAATAGCACCTGCTATCCAACAAAACTGTTCCAAACCCAAATTTATGTCATAATGAGAAGTGGCAGTGGTAGAAGCAATCTGTTGAAGACATATGAGTTCCACAGTGGATAAGAGTATTGGCCCTTGGGGCAGCTAGGTGGTGCAGCGGATACAGCACCGGCCCTGAAGTCAGGAAGACCTGAGTTCAAATCCAGCCTCAGACACATAATACTCGCTAGCTGTGTGACCCTGGGCAAGTCACTTAACCCCAATTGCCTCACCAAAAAAAAAAAAGAAAAGAGTATTGGCCCTCAAGTCAAGAAGACTCATCTTCATAAGTTCAAATCTGGCCTCAGATACCTGCTAACTACGTAACCCTGGGCAAATAACTTAAGCCAGTTTGCTTCAGTTTATACATCTGTAAAATAAGCTGGAAAAAGAAATGGCAAAAAAACTCCAAATGGGGGCACAAAGAATTGGACACGATTGAAACAACTGAAGATCAACAACAATAAATATGTAAGTGGAGAGATAGAACAGATACATGAGATGCTGTTGTGTAGTGTAGACTATCACTAAGGTGAAAATCAAGGTTGGAGAGAGCAGAGGACTGGATTAATGCCAATGTCTTCCTGTTTTCTGTATTATATATATTATATTTAGCCATTTAATTCTATCCTGGAACACTGCCCCTCCCCCCAAAAAAATCTTAAAACTTCCTTGGAAAAAGATACTTTATACAAACAAAATAACCGTCTACTGCATGAGTCTAAAAATAGTACCAGTTTCGTTTATTTCACTCTATCTCTCCTGGAAGAATCCAGCTAATACAAATTTGTGGTGTCCATTTGCAATACTGCAGTCCCAAAGTTACTTCAGAAGAGAAAAGAACAAACAAAAACCAAGTATTATGTGGCTCTGCTCCTCTCATTCCACTACAGCAAAATCCTCTCCTGCTTCCAAATTTCACTCAAATCTTATTTTTAACTACTCTGTGCGTATGTACTTATTAACTTTACATTACAGTGTGTATTCTTTTTACACATTTGTCTCACCAATCACAATGTAAGCTTATTGCAAGTGGTGATCATTTCATTATTTATACCTATAAATTAGCACAGTGCCTGGCCCATAGGAGGTGCTTAATACTTGTCTAAATTGTAACTCATCTTTCCTCCCAAATTCTTTCATTCTTCCGAACTTTTTTTTTTTTGGTGAGGGAACTGGGGTTAAGTGATTTGCCCAGAGTCACACAGCTAGTGAGTGTTATGTGTCTCAGGCCACATTTGAACATAGGTCCTCCAGACTCCAGGGCCGGTGCTCTATCCAGTGTGCCACCTAGCTGCCCCCCCTAACTTTTCTATTACCATCTAGCAGGCGTGGGGAATCTGCAGCCTCCAGGCCACATGTGGCCCAAATTCCCCTTTGACTCAAAGGGTCACACTTGAGGATCTACAGGGTCACATGCGGCCTCGAGGCCACAAGATTCCCACCCCTGGGATGTCACCATCCTTCCAGTCACCCAAGCTCACAACCTAGACTCTCATTTTCAACTCCTCACACTCTCTCATCTCATCCTATACCCCTATACCCAATCTGTTGCCAAGGCCTGCTATTCTACCTATTTAAAATTATGCTGGGTCTCGCTGCCTCAAAGCTCTCCTTCCTTCAGTCCATCTTCCACTCAACTGTCAAAGCAATCTTAAAATGTACAGATCTGATCATGACAAATAAACACAAGTGGTCCCCTATTAGCTGCAGGATCAAATATAAAAGCCTCCATTTGGCTTTGTTGTTGTTTAGTCAACTGTCGGACGTGTCCAACTCTCTGTGACCCTATTTGGGTTTTGGGTTTTTTTGGGGGCAAAAGACACTGGAGTGGGTCACCCAGGTAGTAAATGTCTGACGCCATATTAGAACTCAGGAAGATGAGTCTTCCTGACTCCAGGCCCAGCACTCTATCCACTGTGCCCCATAGCTGCCCACAGGTGCCTAGATGTCTGACTTCAAAACTCATCATACCTGGCCCTCTCCCTCCTTTCCAGTCTTCTTACACCTTGCTCCCATCCACATACTCTGTGATCCAGTGACACTGGTCTACCTCCTGCTCCTCACACCAGATACTGACTAAACGTTTTTATTGTCTCTCTCTTCACGTCAGAATTTTCTCCCTTCTCTCTGCCTCCTGGTTTCCCTGGCTCCCTTCAAGTCCTAACTAAAATGCAATCTTCCATAAGAAGTCTTTTTTGATCCCCTTTAATGCTAGTACTTCTCTTCTGTGATTATGTCCAATTTATAGATTATTTGTACAGCTGTTTTCATGTTTTCTCCATCAGATCACATGCTCCTTGAGAACAAAGACTTTGCTTTGTCTTTCTCAAAAAAATGTTTGTGGACTGAATAAATGACTGGCTGCCTCTACACCAGCAAAAGCAAAGATTAAAAAAAGGCAAATAAGTGTTCCCCGAAACTCAAAGCAAGCAGTTATCTAAGATATTACACACACAAGTTCTGAAAATATTGGTTGTTACTGACTACTATTCCATGAGAAACTAAAAACGTACCAAAAGAGAATTATGTGTTTCTACTTTCTAACATAAAGAAATGCTTGCAGCTAATAAGAAAACTCAACCAGCCAACCTGTGATCATCTTGCTCAGATACATGTAACTTCTAGTCATAGAATTCCCTATGACAAGGCCTTTAAAATTACTTGCAGTAAGAAACAGCAATGAGTTCCTTGTTCCTAGTCATCCAATGGCATTCATAGTAGTAGATTTGTCTAATTATTCTGTTTAGAAGGCTTAAGGTACAAGGGAACTCTGTGTGTGTGTGTGTGTGTGTGCGCGCCAATTAACTTGATGGTTAATTTGTGTCAACAGCCAAGTAACTCCCAACTGCCTACAAAAATGTAAGTAAGTAGAGGTGTAGGTAACACTAGAAAATCCAAAATTAACTCATGCCTCAAAATAGGTTTGGAGAGCAATTAGATACTTATGATCAGATATCTACCCACATACTCATTCCTTCTGAGGACTGTGCTAAAGCCTACTGTCAGAAAGTGAGCTGAGGGAAAGATTCTGAATAGTCCAACAGCAAAAGAAAAAAACAAACTAATTAAGTCCTTCCTTTAAAACTCCCCAGACATTTTTTGGGAGTCTATTTGAAAAGAGAGAGTGAACCAACTAGAATCTAAAGAGTTACCACTGGGGCACTGGGAGTAGGTGACAGCTGTAGCAACCACCTCTCCAAACTCAAGCAAGGGATGTCCAGATTCACTATGAGTGGGATTGCTGCAGCTGCCAGAAACCACTGAAAAACAATTTGAAGATTCTGTAGGAGGCAGGAAAATCTGCTCAAATTTGACAAGAAGGACTAAAATTCTCAAATGTTCCAAATATTCAGAAAATAGCCATGAGGAAGGGCCTCCCAAAACCAGTTTTTGCTCCAGAGCCTTAAAATGGGGTTATAATTTACTTTTACTAAATATTTAGAACATATCACAACAAAGGATATTATTTTTATTCTTTGTCCTGGTTAATCAAGTTTTGACCTCTTCTCCTTATTTAGTCCCTCTGCTTTTCTTTTTTTTCTGCTTCTCTTCTATCACACACCCTTAGCCCAGTGTAGCACTTCTCTCTTTTTGCTCTCCTCTGTAAATCTCCTTGTCCTTCCCTCTTTCCGTTTTTCTTTGGGAATCTATTATCCAAAGAGTTTCACCAATTGTTCTATGAATGGCAACAGTAAAGATATGTTCAGGGCAGAGGGGTATAGAAGAGACCGAGAAAGAACAGAAAAAACCACTCGCAAGAAAGAAGGTTCAGGTGTGATAATGTCCGGAGCCCATAGTCCTACAATTCTAAACACTGGCTTCCTAAATGAAGTTGTACAAGATTAGAACAATAGAGTACCGAGCAATAACAGCTAACATTTATATAGCACTTACCAAATGCTTTACAATTATTATCTCATTTGATCCTCATAATAACCCTATGAGTAGGTGCTATTATTATCCCCATTTTATAGATTAAAAAAACTGAGGCAAATGGAGATGATGTGACTTGCCCAAGATCCCATGGCTAGTATGAGTCTGAGGCCACATCTGAACTCGGGTCTTCCTGACTCCAGGCCTAGTCCTCTATCCATTAGGTGATAGTGCCACCTAGTTGCTTCTTGAAGAGTGGACAGACAGACAGACACAAACACAAACACACACACACACACACACACACACACACACACAGTGAATACAGAACTAAATAGTTAAGTACAGCCCTAGACTATTCCATTTTCAACCTTTGACAGGTTTTCCCACTACCCAGTGCACATTTATGCCAATTTCCCCCCTGTATCTTCCTCTCTGTATTCAGGAAATACCAACTAACTTAAAGATTACTTGAACACTTCAAAAGACCTACAGTTTTGCCAAGAAAAGTATTCCCTCCACCACCTAAAATTAAAACCTCTCCAAGTTTTAGCACATTGTCTCCATGAGTTAAAATCATTGCCCGATAATTCATCTTAAGGTCAGCCTTTCTTGCCTTAGCTAAAACGGTCCTTAGATGTCAGAAGCATATTTCACTACCAGACCCACAAGCTTGGTTCGACAGACCTGCTAGAGTCTGGGTTGTGCTGGTCACCTCCACACCACAGTGAATCTTTGAGTAAGATTTTAATAGTGGAACCTGAGTATTAACCACCTATAAAAAAATCGTCGATAGCTATTCTGTGCCTCTAGTCCCCTCTGATGGTACATATAATCAAGAATTGATTGTATTACTAATATATCAAAATGTTATCACAGAACATGAATGAGTTCTTTAATAATATAGCTATGCCACCCAGCTGTTCCAAACAAAGAGCTATAAAACACTAGTAAATTCTGTTATTTCTCTCTGGCTAATCTCTAGCTAAAGAAGAACAGGAAGAAGCTACAGGATCGTGGGGGTCTCCTTGGGTCAAAATAATACATGAGGGAAACTTGCAGGTTTTGATTTTTCAGCCATAGTAATTCATGAAGACAATGTGCTAAAGTATAGAAAGGCAGCAGTACAACTGCACTTCATTTTATGTGATAACTCAATACCTCAACAGATTCATAAAGTTTCATCAGTGAGAATACCTCCCCTCTTCAAACCTTAGCAAGTAGTCTTCAGGAGGAGCTGTGAGGGAAAAAAAAAACCATCACATACTAACCACTCTTCTGGTGATGGGCCCCTTCACACTTTCCTTACTGAAATTGATTCCCAGATAACAGACAGACAACACAGTCAGCCAACTGCCAAAGGGCCGTGCTTCAGGGCTTTCTAGCATGCATGGTCCTGCCAGAGGTCAGTCACCCTCTACTATCATAACCTTCAAGAATCACCTTCACACACACTGAAACAGAGTACAACTCCAGCAGAGCTCGTGGAATAGCACATTTGTGTGTAATTGCATACATATCTATATGCATACAGATAGATAGATATATATATATAGATATATATATGAAAAGCTATATACATATAAGATACATATACCTGAAAAGCTGCCAATAAGTCTAATTTTTATCAATTGTCTCCTATCTTCCCATTGAACTATATTATAACTTGAGAGGTACTTCATCTTCATTCCTGATTTTCAGTAGCTAGGCAGTAGCTTCTAATACTTTTAAGTTTAAAGTTTCTCTGCCCTTTGTCATTGACAAGTAGTTCATGATCTGGAAATAAACATTTAAATGAATCAGGGAGTTACTATAAACAGGAGCCCTAGATGAATATTTTTGTAATGAGAATAATCACCTCCTAAATTATCTATTTAAAGTCCATATTTTAAAGGAGGGTACTACTGCATTAAGAAACAGTGATTTTTCTCTCTAGAGACTCAACAAGAAATGGTATGTTGGACTATATGTGTTATATGGAAAAATGTTATGTTATTTATGGAATACGCTATTGTTACTGGGATTGTTAGGGCCTTTCCTCAGCATCCTGAAAGCATTCCCTTTCTCAAAGAGAGCAATTAGAAGAAGTAGAAAGAAAAAGCTAATTTCATACCTGTACCATGTCCCAGTTCATTTCCAACTCCTCCTTAACTTTGCCGACATTTCCTGCAGTTCTGACAGGCTGTCCCTGAGGAAACAGTGTAGATTTTATTTTCTTTAAAGGGGGTTCACCAAATGTAAGGTCCTCTTCATCTTCTCTCTTCTTTATGCTGCTTCCTCTCTGCATAGTGCTTGTTGATGGTATCTCGATGCCACTGCCACCACCACCATCTACGTTGTCAGTTCTGCAGATCACCTCATCAACTTTCAGTTTTTTGGCCTTCTGCGTTCGAGGCTTATTAGATACTCTCTTCCGTGTGCTAGTCGTAGTTTTCTGCTTCTGCAACACTTTGAGTTCATCTTTGCTGTCTTCCGAAACATCATCAATAAGCACAGAGCTATTCTGTCAAACCATCAAGTGAACATGAGATTAAAACAATATCAAAGCCAATTCCCCAAAGCCTTTAAATTCAACTAAAAAGTTTTTATTGTGTGTCCTCAGGGCACACAGCAGTGAGGCAAGCAGAAGCATTAGAGTAAAGTAAAGAACGGACATGGTTTCAACCTTCATGCAGTTAAAAGATCTAACCAGCTCACGACTCTGTAAAACCCAACCTTCCCTGAAAGTACAATGGTCAACCTGAAAAAGCATCTGTGTTCAGTCTAAATTTCACCCCCAAAAAGGGCAATGCAAATAAATAAAATCCACTGTGTCTATTTCATTTTGATAAATTTCAAATATGTATCAACACCATCTTTTCCCACATCTTCTCCCAAAAGTTTATGGTATACAAATCACTGACAAAATGCAGTCAAAGGAACTCTCTATGTCACTGTAAAGGCACTGAATAAAATTCAGTTCAACAACAAGACTAGGGGGAGGGTAGGAATAGCATACATAAATGAAATTAAAAACTAAATTTCAAACAACGCTCCAACCTCCCCACTGCAGAATCAAACTCTTTAACAGGTGTTCACAAGTGACAACATTGCCTGATTTAAGATTACCCTTCTTTCTTACGCACATGGTAGTGGTTCCATAAACACCTACTGAATAAACAAATGAGCTAAGCTTCCAAAATTATGGGTGATCCAGCCAGAAATAAGCTGCTAAATAATACAAACTAAATAATTAAAGCACAATTAAAAATTGAAAGTCTTTGACATTTTCATAAGCCTATGTGTATAAAGAACCTGAGACCCTGAATCCATCCCTTAGACTTTTAGACAACCAAACTATTGCAGAAATACAGAAATCAAAACTAATTTTAAAGCCTTTCCAAAAATTCATTGCACCACTCCCCTGCACCTCCCAATGTATTATTGTCTTTAATAGACTTTACTGTCAAGAATTTCTTCCATTTATCTGTCATGCTATAGAGGCATTATGGCATGGTGGAAAGAATACTAGAATTGGAATCAGGGAGACTTAGTTGGAATCCCCTAAGATAATTAATAGCTGTGAGACTTTGAGTAAGTCACTGAACCTGAACAGAGTCTTCTCGATTGTAAAATGAAAATAACACCCTCCTCACAAGGTATTGTATGGCTCAAATGTGAGATTATGCATGTAAAGCACTTACAAACCTTAAGAGTATCATATAAATGAAACCTATAATTATTATAGTTTAAGTTAATATCTTTTTATTCTATCCTCAACACAGACAGTTCTCACTTTACACAAATTCCCATTACAAATATGACTTTCTGTAAAGAATTCTGAAAGAAATGTACATTTCAAAAAACACCTTATGGTAACTTTACTGTACAGTACAGTGCACTCTCCACTCAGGCCCCTCTGCACGGGGATTTGGTGCTCCCACCACCCCCTACCAAAAAAAAAAACCTCCAAATTAAAGTAGAAGAATGGGATTGGGAGAGACCAATCACTGCGGACTGATGGGGCTTGGATTGAGACCTACGCCCTGCTATGCCTACTCTACCTAACACGCCACCAACTCCCCACTCTTTCCAGCAATGTCTGTCTTCTGACCATCTGTACCAAATATCTGTGCCCAGCCCCACCCTCCAAACCCTGTCAACATTCTCTCTGTGCCCCATGTCTCCCACCTCCACCCCTCCCCCAAAACCCCTGTTCTTCCTCTCAGTTCCATCCAGATCCCCATGTGGCTGGTGCCAGCCCTTAAGAGTTCCTATTCCTGCTCTGTCCTCCTTGAACCATGTGCTAGCCTCCCCTCCCTCCATGGGTAAATGGCTCCCTTCCTGCCTCCTTCCCTCCCTTCCCCAAGTCCCAGGGCAAATTCACATTCTGTAAAAATCCTTTATGTAGAGGTCTGCAGAACAGATGGCAAGTTAATTAATATCTATACTGCTTTATCACCCATCAGACTTTTCCCTTCTGACTAAATAGATATAATTCCTGTGTTTTGTCTTCATAAAGGAAAAGTGATTCATGAAGAATGGTAAAATCTTTGTGATAACCTATTTTCATATGTTTTTCCAAATTGTTTTCACTTTTCTTTAGACGTTAAGATCTATAACTAGCACAAGAATTCTAAAACTTTGACTGACCAGTGTAATGTGCCCAATGGAAAGAGGATCTCATGGTTCTTTTTTCATTTGAACAGATTTCCTTCTATTCTGTGTTCTGGCCATGAGGAAACCATATAGACAGGAAGCTCCTCTGTGACTTAATCTTCAAAAAGTTGCCTATGGCATTGAGATATGAAATAACTTGCCCAGAGCCACATGGCCACCCCCAAGTCACTCTCTAAAATCAATCTTTCTATTCAGTTCCTATTTATAAACAGAAATCAAGTGACAAAAGACCCTAAGCCTCACAGTCAGGAAGTAATCTTGCCGGTCATTCGTGTCCTCACTGGTACCTGCCAGAGGACCATGAGGCAATTAACGGCTGGGCTGTCAATTCTCCTTACGCAATACAGGCACCCAAAAATGTCAACCAGGGACACAAGCTAAAGATGAACTTCCCTCCCCCTCCCCTCCTTCAATGGAATAAAAAATGTCAAATTTTGACAAAACTTATAAAGAATTGTGGAAAAATCAAAAATCTCTAAAGTTCTCTAAAATGTCTAAAAAAATTTTAAACAAAAACATTTTTCTACCTGAGTCGGCCTGTTCTCCTCCTTCTGGTTCCATCTTATTTTTTAATCTTTAAAAATACTAAATATCAGTAAAAGAATCTGACAGAATTACTTACAGTTAGTAACAGACAAAAAACTTGACCTCCCCTCCAACTCTATTACACTAAGTTTAATGGAAAGCCTTCATACTCCTAGCACCATGTAAGAAAAATTATAAAAAGATGAAGAATACAAGAAAATATGCAGTGATACAAAGCAAAATCAGCAGGACCAGGAAGAACTGCATACACTACGGCAAAAACATTAAAAAAAAAAAAGAAAAACTCAAAGGCAGTAGAATTTCGAGACCAATTAGAAAGGAGACACATAGCAAATGCTTTTTCTGTTCATTATATGTTCATTTATTTCCATTTTATCAAATGATATGGGTCTCAAGTAAGATTGCATTCCTTATTTTACATGTTTGTCTTTCTTAATGGTTATTAAGGTTATAATGTTAAAAAAAAAAAAGACTAAACACAAACAACCAGAATAGGAGCTACAGTTTTTTCAATTACAGACAAAGCTGAATCCCTCTTAGTTTTTTTTAGTGGAAAGCTTACATGCAGAAAACAAGAAACATGGAGGTATAAAAGAGGTATAAAGCAGCATTTAATGAAAAGACCATGATATCTATCTAATCAAAAGAAAAAACAGTTCATTTTGTAATCATGCAATTTTCCATAAACACAATATCTAATGAGAAGCATATAATACAGGTGTGCCTAGCACAATAAACATAGTGCTCTAAAGTTGTGTTAACTCAATTTTTAACGTACTGGGACAGTTTCCAGTTAAAAAAATTAAAAGATGAATTTTTTGGTGACTTGAAATTAATCTGTAATTTTATCTTTCTTAAGATAAAATTAAGGTTAAATGCAGATTATCATATATAGCATTTGCAAGGCACAAATTTATCTTCAAAAGCTACCAGGCAACTAATGCAATCTATATGGAAACAAATAGTCTACTGACACAGTATGAAATACATCCTATTTCTCTAGCTCTTTCTGAAAAGTATGTGCTCTGCTCTGCAGAAAGTAAAATGGAACTTGTGTCTACCTGGGATACCTACCAGTTCTTCTTTAATAGCCACCTTTCTTGGACTACTGCTGATCTGTGGGGCTTTCTTCTGTACCACAGACACTTTCTTTGGCTTGTTTTTCTTAGAAATGGGCAACTTCAAGCTGCTGGAAGCTTTCTTTTGGGGCTCCCAAGAACTATCTTTATCATTATCCTCTTCAGATTCAGATGAACTAGGAGAAAATTAACAGACTATTTCTAGAAAAACAAAATTAAAATGTCACAAAGAAAACACACAGATACTTATGCTTCCTACAAACTGCAGTGGTGTTTTCATACAAGAATGTTCTAAGACAAGATAAGAAACCTCAACATGGAAGAGTCTATCTTTGAGTGAGTACAACCTAGTACATAATAATGATAGGCTATAAAATATCTGTAAAAAGAAAATTCCCTCATAAGAGAAAAGATCACTGGCTCCTCTCTCTGAGATTCTCAACATTGACTTCCATTTTCCTACTCTCTCCTTGTTTCAACTTCACCCTTACTTCCCTATCCCCTAATATGATCATCAAAACAGTTTTAGGATATTATTTATTACCCAGATGATTTTTACTGGGTCTATTATCCCATGATCACTGAGAATTTTTCATCTTTAATTTTCAATTCATTCAAATTGTGCTAAATCAAATCAATATATAACGTGGCCTTCAAGACTGCCTCCTGGGCTACATAAAGAGCCAGAATCAAGTGAACTATATTTCAGTGATTTCACCCTATAGTGTAAATATGCTTACTGAGAAGATTAAAACCACTACTGCACTTTCTTACAAACCATACAAAAAAATCAAACAACACACTTCCCAAATCTTCCTAATATCTCTCTGGCTTAGTCCCTATCACAGTGCAGAAGCAAAACAGCTGCAAAGCTATACTCAGTGAGTAAGGTAAGGAAACCAACCAAGAACTCCATTAAACCAATCTCTATCCATCATCCTCTATACGCAATGTATTATTATGTATTACATGTATCATTACTCAATACTAGTCAAAAAAAAAAAGATTAACTTTCTTCTCCTGGAAAAATTAACACTAGGATGATATGGGATCCTGCATCAGAAGAATTAGGAAACCTCTAAACAAACCTCCTACCCATGATTTAGGAGTTAATTGAGCTTAGAGTTCAAGTCAATGGTAATTATTAAAATTAATTCCTCACAAAGGCAATAATAATAATAACAACCACAATAATCAAAGTCCATTTAGACTACACATATTCTTAACAGAAAATGCAAAAGAGAATAGAATACTTGATAGCTGAGTTGAATAGAAAGAGCTCTGGTCTCAGAAACGTGGATTCTAGGGGCAGCTAGAGCACTGGCCCTTCAGTCAGGAGGACCTGAGTTCAAATCCGGCCTCAGACCAAACACTTGACACTTACTAGCTGTGTGACCCTGGGTAAGTCACTTAACCCCAATTGCCTAAAAATTGGGGAGAAAAAAAAAACAGTAACATGGATTCTAGTTCTGGGTCTGTTAAACTATATTCATAATCTCTCCAGGACTCAGTATTTCTATATGTGAAATAGAAAGAATAATCACTCCCTAATACTCCTCAATTCACAAGACTATTACAAGGAAAAAGTAAGATAATACATTAGGAATAAAAGTTCAAAATAACTGTTAAGTTTGGCTGAACTCTTCCCCTTGGATGCCTTTCTGAGAAGACTGAAACATACAGAGGAAAATACAGATGACGTAAAAACAAAATTTATCAATAAAATTTTTAAAAGTACAATAGAGTAATATTTTTCATGTAACAGTTCTTTCCTTGTGGTACAGCATTGTTTTCAGTCAAAATTAGCATGGGAAAGGATATGTTGTCTGAAACAAACATCTTTTTACTCCCACAATAAAACACACTTACGATTCAAGGAAAGAAGGCAACTCATCTTTTACCACCACAGCCTGAACTTTTAATTTTGCTCTCCTTGATAATGCTGACATCTGAAAGAAACATAGCAGGTAATGGATATGAGGAACAAAGAGGCTAATCACTTTATTCAGCTACCTCAAAGTAAAGACTCATTCAAAGCTAACTCTCCATCAGTCCTACTCTGGAAAGTAATATGGATAAAAGAAAAAACAATCCTCAAGCTCAAACACTAGTCTCCTCTGCTAATAGTCATCAAATGTTTTCTAAGAGCCTTGTAAATGTCCATATCTATGTTATCTGTTTAGCTCTAATTATAGATAATTTTACATATTTAATTGCTCAACTAAAATAATTCAAGAATAATTGGATTAGCAACCACAGCAAACTATAAACTTTTCTATCATACTATCATTTCCTTCTTCACTATCTGCCTTCAATATCTAACAGCCTCTGCATGGAGTGGCCACCCAAATCAGTGAATGACTCAAGAAGAAGCCAGGAAGTTAATCCTTAAACAGGATAATTCACTTCGAAATAATCAAAAGCTAACTGTTTTTCAGTTGTATTTTAAAAGACACATGTTAATTCTGAAGAGCAATTACAGACAGTTCTACCTGACAAGAACCACTTGGGCTCACTAGGGCGCTGCTGGTACAGCCCCAGTCAGGGTCCTCTACTGCAGGCAATGAAGTCACTCTGGCTACAGGGGGCCCGAAGAGACTCTGATCAGGCCCTTCAAGGGGAGGGGAAGATCTGCGAAACCTACCTTAAGTGAGAACTGACTGTATTTACAAAACAAATACTTCAAAATACATGTTATATAGTACAAACAGAATGGTCTAATCCCTGGCCTGAGAAATAAAGACATTACTTGCCACAGAAAAGAGAGTAACTGTTTAGAATGTTATATTACACAAATAATATAGTTAACTTATGACTAATGTATCTCACATACTCAAAACCATTTGTTAATATCCTAGGCTAGAAAAGCAGAAATAAACATTCAACATAAGGATGATGTAGGCCAGCCCTACCCCTAGAAAACACGACACTGCTTGTAGCAGTCACCTTTGTGAGAAAAAAGAAAAAGCCTTCAACTCAAAATACTCTGAATTAGTCATGGTCTGGGCATCCTACAGATTCAGATTCATTTTTTGGAGTTTCCTTTAGGAGTTTTTTTTTTTAAAGAAAAAAATGATGACAACTCTTGCCCACTCAATTTTAACAGATAAAATGTGAAAGAGCTCAACAGACTCAAAGCTACCAGCTTATCAAGAATTTCTGTCAAATTTCAGGAGTGTGGTGTCTCCCCTTGGCAAGAAATTTCCAGTACAGAAGCAGAAAACCATACTACCACATATAAAAAGGCAACTCTGTGGACACTGAAGAATTACTCACTTTTGCTTCCTCTAATGACTCCTGTAAAGTCTGAGGCCTGGTGTGCACTCTTAAGCAGATGTTAACAATTCCAAATGGTTTTTCCTACTGTTTAGCTTTATTGTTGATACCTGCAGAATAAACCGATTTTCCCCCAAAGAATTAAAAACAAAGGAATAAGATTTACACAATCATAGAATTTTAGAACTGCAAGGGATTTCACATCATATGGGACTGAAAGGGGGGTATGCTTTAATAAAGGGGTACCAAACTCAAAAAGAAAAGAGACCATTAAAGGTACATACGGATCCAAGCTGACAGCATATTGACTTAGAACATTATCTGTGTTCTACTGTATTTTTTAAATATTTCCCAGTTATAATTAACCTGGCTCAGGTTGGCTGCTTGAGGCCCATCAGCGTATGACACCTTTGTCTTAATCCAGTACAAAAATATCAGCAGAAGCTGGACACAAATAGGTGGTGTTCAATCTTTAAATGAGCTGGGTCACTCAAACAAACAAAACCTCTAGAACAACTTTAACAACGATCAGGGCTGGAACACATTGCTTTCATATTAAATAAACATGTAACAATAGCACATTTCATACACACTGGGCCCTCAATAAAGGCTGTTAAATTGATAGAATGCCATGTATTTAAATACCATGTATCAATTAGTGTTTATATGTCAAGCAGCAGCTAGGAAGTACAGTGGACAAAGCACCAAGCCTGGAGTCAAGAAGACCTGAGTTCAAATTTGACCTCAGACACTTAGCTGTGTGACCCTCGGCAAGGCATTTAATCCTGTTGGCCTCAGTTTCCTCATCTATAAAATGAGCTAGAGAAGGAAATGGCAAACTAATGCAGTATCTTTGCCAAGAAAACCCCAAAATGGGTCATGAAGAGGTGGACATGACTGAAAACAACATATATCAAGGGGCAGCCACACGGCACAGTGGACAGAGCACCTGCCCTGGAGTCAGGAGTACCTGAGTTCAAATCTGGCCTGAGACACATAACACTCACTAACTGTGTGACTCTGGGCAAGTCACTTAACCTCTATTGCCTCACCAAAAAAAAAGTTGGGTTTTTTTTTAAATAGAAATGTACTGTAACTAATCCACAAAAAGCCTCAAAGTAGGCTAAAAAAATTAGCCTACTTTTCCCCCTCTCTAGTCCTTTAACTTTTCTCCATAGTACAAGAAACACCTAAGAGACGCAGGACCTTCAAAATACTGGCCCTCACTGAATTTTCCTCACACTGAATTCAAAGAGATATGACAAGGTTTGAGACAGGAATGTCTTAAAGACAGATGCTATCAACAAAATTAAGATTCCTTTCTGAATTCAGTATGACATGGTTGTTGGTGAAGGTTGGTTGTACGTGGAGGAGTGTGCCTTTGGGAGGATCTAAGTGCCAACAGTTCAGGCAGTCTACTTAAAAATATAAGGCAAGAGAATTAATTTTGTTTTTATATATGTATTTAATTATACTTGAAATATTTCAAATGTGCTTAATAAATTCATTCATTCAACAAATTATTATTAACTATTAGGTTTCATTTAGATGAAGTGTTTCTGATGAAGTAATTCATTTGATATATACATTGATTCCTTTTCTGTAGCATCATCCATAGGACAGTAAAATTTAGGTTCTCGTCTCCTCTCTACCTTTAACTGAACTGCTTAACTTGCTTTACCTTTCCATACTTCTGTTTCTTCTTCACGAAAAGAATAATCTCATTGATGTCCCTTTATTTTATAAAAGATGTTTTAAATTGTATTTAAAAATATAACTAATGTTAAACAGTCTAATTTCATTCTAAAGATAGCTGAATTATTATGAACAATAACAATATCATAGAAATAATAATATAATAAATTTTAAAAAGAATCAGCTCATACTCAATTGTGTGTCCATCAAATCAGTCCTAAAATGGGTAAGCTCAAAGAAGTTCATTACCAGCGAGTTAGCTTCTGGATATTAATTTTTTTCACTACAATTCATAAAGAATCTTCCAAAGAATGATGTGAGAATAAATGAAAATCTATTAGAGCTTTTTGAAAGACAGATGGAATATCTAAGGTATAAATAACATATTTCTGCCTAACAACAAGTAGTAAACCTTGTATATAGTACTGACACTTAATAAAAAGAGGGACAGCACAGAAGGCCTACAAGTTCTTACCAGGTCTGGAGAATTTCCCTACTTCCAAGCTGTCTTACCCACCTTCCTTACCCCCAATAAAACCTATTTTGTAGATGCGTAGGCATTTTCCAAATCAGCACCACCCACAATATGGTGACTAAGAAGAACTCTGGGTGCTGTGATTCAGCTGAGGTACGAGGGAGAAACCTGGCAACAAGATAAAGTCAAAAAGGAACCTGTTCAAATATCAAATAAAATTGCAATCAGAAAAAAACAAATCTTCAAGAAATATGTGGTGAAGTAACTTCTCATGAAGCACTAGATTCAACATCTTGATGCTGTCTAACAGGCAAGAGCTAAGAACCACAGAATTTTATAGCTGAAAGGAACATCAGAGATCATCTGGTTCAGGCCCTACCCGAGTAATAAATCCCACCTACAAAATTCTTGGCAAGTGACCATTCAGGCTCTGCTTGAATATCTCTTGTGATAGGAAACTCACTGGTCTCTAGGAGCAGCCCATCTCATTTTTTAGACAGACATAACTGTTAGAGACCTTTTATCTTAAGCTGGTCCAAAATCTGCCTCTTTCTAACTTTCCTTGATTCTAGCTCAGCCCCCCAGAGCCAAGAAAATAAGTCTAATACCTCTTCCCCATGACAATCCTTCAAGTAAAGACTGCTGCACTCCCTCTCATCTTCTCTTCTCCAGGCCAAACATCTATCCAGTCCTTCAGTTGGTCTTAGTTTGATTTCAAGTCTTTTCATGATATAACCCAACTTCTAAATATCTCTTCTGAAATGCTGTGCTCAGAACTGGACACAATACTTCAAATTATGTCAATCCAGGGTAAAGTACAGTGAGACTATCATCTCTGGATAGCATATGTCTAACCTAGCTTCTAAGATTACATCAGTTCTTTTGTCTGCCATGTCACATTGGAGAAACATACTGAGCCTGGCTATTTTTCATACGAGCTACCAGTTTCCCTCTAACCTGTACGTATATAATTTTCTTATAATAAATGCAATATCTTATATTTAGATCTATTTAATTTCATCTTAACTTCAGCCCACTATTCCAAATTCTCCTAATGTACATCCCAACATATTAACAATCCCTACCATCTTTCTGCTGAATTTGATACCCACATCTATGCCTTTCTCCAAATCAACTATCCAATCACTGACGAAAATTGCAAGTATTCAATTAACCATACATCAAGGCATTTTGGTAGACCTATCCATCACCATAAATCTCTTCGTATACACATTTACTACCTGTGAAATCTTGACCAAATTACTTCACAGTCCTGGAGACTGAGTTTCCAGATTTGTTAAGAGGCTGAACTACATGATCTGGGAGGTCAAAGGTCTCATAACTGGATGGAACCCCAGACATCCTCATCCTGGACAAGCTCACGGTCCAGACCGCTAAGTCCCCAAGTGGGTTAAATGCCGTGGTCAAGGGAACAGCGCTTTCAAGGGTGGAAAAACCCAAGTGTGCTGACTCCCAGGCTGGGACTTCCCACTACAGCCCATCCAAAAAGAGGGCTGGTAACCAATCCCAGAAATGGGACAATCTGGGGAGCAAAAGGCGAAAACACGAGGGTTGGAGAGGGAAGGTCGGGAGTTTTTCCCTAAGGGTTTTTGCAAAGTGTTTCCGCCTTTCCTGGCTACCCCGAGTCCTCGCTTCTCTAGCCTCCGAGTCCTCGGGGCTCCTAAGGTCTGGGTGTGGGCTGTGAGTGTCTTCAACGCCTAACACAGAGGATGGCGGGCTGTCCTCACATTCACACCCGCAACACCACGGCCTATGAAAATGTCTCACTGCGGATTTTTCCGCCCTGAAGCTCCGTAATTCCAGAACAAGAAATGGAGTTGACACGGGCCACGACTCCGCCCGAGGATCCGGGGGGGACCGCGAGAACGGTCGCAGAGCTCACCTTCCAGCCCGGCGCCCGCCGGATTCCGTCCACCGCAGCCTTCCGGTTCAGGACGGAAGCTGTTCAAACGCAGCAAACCCCGCCACAAGCCTTCCCCAAGCGGCCGACGTCACGAAGTTCCGGCCGGGCTACCGAGGGAGAGGGAAGCGGAGGCTGGAGGGGGCTGGGACGGGCGGCGCCGGAAACAAATGGGAAAGCAGAGGTGGAGGCAGGAGGCGGGGCGAAGGGGAAAAGGCGTAGCCGTATTAGAGAAAATGAAGGGAGGAGAAGCGGGGCGGGGTGGGCGTGGCCAGTCCAGAGGCCAATGAGAAGGCCGCCAAGGAGTTAGCTGTTCTACGACTATAGTGAGGCATTAGCGGTGTGGGGTGGAGCCAGGGAGCAGCTTGGGGTTGCGTTACCAGTGATGCTGTGTCTAGACCTGTCTTTATTTACCCTTCCTCCCTTTTCTCTGCACTAGGATTTGTTTGGTTGGGTTTTTTCAAGTTTCATAAGCATTTTTTCTTAAAAGGATTTGGGGATTTAAGTGAATGACATCTTTTTGAAGATACCGTTTTAAAATCTGAAAAGCAAGTTTATTAAGCATCTACATAAATGTTAGCTATTATTATTAATAATTATTATTATTGATAATGATGGTGTGCCAGGCACTGTGCTATGTCCTGGGAATGCAAATCAATTAATTAAACCGGTCTTGTTCACGAGAAGTTTACATGCTCGTGAAGGAGACAAGGGAATTGGTAAGAATATCAGAATATAAAGCAAATAAGTATGAAATTGTAAATTACAAGGTAGCTTGGGTGGGAGGGCACTAGAGGGGGAGGGGAGAATCAGAAAAGGCTCCACACAGAAGGTGATGCCTGAGCTGACAGGAGAGTGAATTCCAGGCACAGGACAGAGTCAGGGCAAAGGCACAGGCATGGGAGAACAAGTGTCATACGTAAGGAACACAGAGAAGGGCAGTGCAATGGGATCCCAGAGTGCAGTGTATGATGAAGCAAGGTTATCAAGGACTTTAAAAGCCAAACAGAGGAACTTCTACTTTATCCTAAAGCTGCTGGAGTTGAATAAGGGAAAGGGAATAATCATTTACATAAGTGCTTAGTACTTTACAAATATTATCTCATTTGATTGTCACAACAACCCTTCAAGGTAGAGACTGTTATTATGCCCATTTACAGTTGAGGAAACTGAGGCAAACAGAGGTTAAGTGACTTACCCAGGATCACACAGGTAACAAGTATCTGAGATTGCATTTGAATTTGGCTTTTCCTGACTCCAATACCCTATCTACTGCACCACCTAGCTGCCTCTAAAGGAGCTAATGGGGGCAGCTAAGTGGCACAGTGGATAGAGCACCAGCCCTGGATTCAAGAGGACCTGAGTTCAAATCCAGCCTCAGACATGTAATACTAGCTGTGTGACCCTTGGCAAATCACTCAACCCTAGCCAAAAATAAATAAAGGAGCTAATAAAGTGAAAAAAAAGTCACCGATCAGTCCTGGACTTGAGGGAGTAATTTTGGCAGCAGATGGACTAAGTGGGAGTAGGGGAGATTTAAAAGTGGGGGAGGGGGGAACAATTAGGTGGAAGTTACAGTAATCTAGGCAAGAGCAGATGAGGGCTTGAAACTAGGTGGTAGCTATGTAACTAAAGGAGGAAGCGGGGTAGCTGGGTGGATAGGACACTGGACCTGGAGTCTAGAAGATCTGAATTCAAATCTAGCCCCAGACACCCACTAGCTATGTGATCCTGGGAAACTCACTTAACCCTGTTTGCCTTCGTTTTCTCATCTGTAAAATGAGCTGAAGAAGGAAATAAACCACTCTGGTATCTTTGCCAAGACAACCCTAAAGGGAGGCAGGGAGTTCACAAAAAGTGGAACGTGACCGAACAACAACAAATGTACGTCAAAAGAAGGAATCGTATGCAATAAATGTTTTGGAGGTAGAAATGGCAAGATTTGATATTTGGGGTGAGGGAATGGAGTGGATACCAAAGAGTAGAGGCTAATGCTAAAATTACAAGTATGGAAGAAGAAGAAGGATAGAACAAGAAGGTAGAACCTAGAACAAAGCCAAGGAGAATGTCTACAGTTAGAAGATGTGATGTGATATAGATAATAAATAAGAAAAGGAAGAGGAAAAGAATAAGCGTTTAGATAGCACCTCCTATATGCCAGGTACCATGCTAAGTACTTTACAAATACTATCTCACCTGAGCCTCACAACAATGGAAGAGGGAAGGAAACAAACATTTATACACCTCCTACTACATTCCAGGCATTGTGCTAGCTTTTGACAAATATTATCCCATCCAATCTTCTCAATAGCTCTGCAAGGTAGGGGTTGTTACTATCTCCATTTTACAATTGAGGAAACTGAAACAAGCAGAGGTTTAGATTTGCTCAGGGTCACATAGCTAGTAAGTGTCCGAGGCTGGATTTGAACCCAGGTTGTCCTGGACTCTAGGCCCAGCACTCTATCCACTGTACTTCCTAGATGCTTCCAAGGAGACTGAGACTAGGTAGTTAGACACCTATGGAAGGTCAGAGAAGAGTAGTGTCACAAAAATCCAAAGAGAATGGGGCAGCTAGGTGGCACAGTGGATAGAGCACCAGCCCTGAAGTCAGGAGGACCTGAGTTCAAATCCGGCCTCAGACCAAACACTTGACACTTACTAGCTGTGTGACCCTGGGCAAGTCACAACCCCAAATACCTAAAAAGTTAAAAAAAAAATCCAAAGAGAAGAGAGTATCCGTGAGAGAGTGGTCAGTGGTGTCAAATACATCAAAAAGTTTGATTAGGACAAGAACTGAGAAAATACTATTGGATTTGACAATGAAAATGTAATTGGTAACTTTGGAGAGAGCAATTTCAGTTGAGCGATGAGGTCAGAAGCTAGAATACAAAAGGTTGAGGGAGTGACACGAGAAGTGTAGGTATTAAAGCTAACTATCAAAGCAAAATTTTTCCCCCCATAGGAGTTTGGCTGAGAAAAGGAAAGAAATCTAAATAATAGTTTGAGGAGATGGTCAGGAGTAGCAAAGGCTTTTTAAGACCTAGGGAAACTTGTACATATTTGAAGGGAGTGCACAAAGAACCAGTAGAAAAGAAGTTGAAGAATAGAGAGAAAAGAGATGACTGAGCTTTCAATCTATTGGAGAAGATGGGAGGAGATGAAATCAAAGGCACTTGTAGAAAGGTTGGCCTTGGCCATGAAAAGAGCCACCTCATCCTCAAAGTATGAAGAAGGGGAGAAAAGAGTAGGGGATGGTGTCAAACAGTTTTTTAAATGAAGAGAAAGGACTAAGAGAGAGCTCACCGTAAATAAACTCTTTCTTAATAAAGCAAGAGGAGTGGGGCAGCTAGGTGGCACAGTGGGTAGAACTACAGCCTTGGAGTCAGGAAGACCTGAGTTCAAATCTGACCTCAGACACTTGACACTTACTAGCTGTGTGACCCTGGGCAAGTCACTTAACCCCATTGCCTAGCCAAAAAGCAAAAAAATAAAAAATAAAAAAGAGGGGGATTGCAGGCTTGTGGAAAGGAGAAGTTTGGAATAGTTTTTATGAGGAGAAAGATAGGAGAACAATGAAGGAGGAATAAAAAGATTGCCTTGTTATAGTGAGAGTCCGTTTAAGATTAGGTTGAATGAATTTGTAATATACCTAGTCATCATGGTTGTGTAACTTCTTTCAGTTCTGCTCAGCAACGTGAGTAGAATAAGAGGAGGCAAATGATGGGAGTAATATAAGGGTTGGCAAGGTATGACAAGCAAAAAGACAAGGGACCCAAGAGTTAAGGACAGTGTTGAATTAACTTGGCTAGTTATATGATTGAGATCAGAAGGAGAGGAAAGTGGAAGTTAGAGCCTATTCAAGAAATAGCCTGAAAAAAATAAATAATTAATTAAATAAAATAAAGAAATAGCCTGAGAAAATCCTGAAGGTGGAGGTAATGAAGGCAGAGAATAGGTTTAGGAGGAGCAAAGCAAAGGATAGTATAGGAGGTTATACTCAGATAGTGGAGCTCCATAGTATCTAATTAGGGAAATAGAAGTTTTAAATTAGGGAAGTGGAACATTTGTGGGTAATGGTGAGATACAGTGTATGATCCTGTGTCCCTATGTGTGGCTGAGGTGGAGTGAAGAAGAAGGTTCTGCAATCCTGCAGGAGCAGAATTTAAGGTAACTGAGGAATGGGTAGGTGAGAGAATATGAATGTAAATGTTGAAATCTCCTAAAATAAAGATAGGAGTTAAGGAGCAGAGAAAGACAGTGAGCCAGGTGTTGAATTCCTTGAAAAAAGGAGAGTGACTTGGGGGCATATCATACTCAAATTAAAGGAGTCCTGCAGTAAGCTTTGCAACTGTGGGTTAGGGAAGAATTTATTCCTAAACAAGAGATAGAGAAAAATCAAAGAAGGAAAAAAAAAATGGGCAATTTTGATTACATAAAACAAAAAAGATCTTACACAAATCAATACAGTTAATATTAGAAGAGAAACAATTAACTCAGAAAAAAATCTGTACAGCATATTTCTCTGACAAAGAGCTCATTTTCAAAATGTAACGAGGAACTGATTCAAATATATGAGAACAAGAGCCATTCCCCAATAGATCAATGGTCAAAGGATAAGAAAAAGCAATACTCAAAGGAAAAAATTCAAGCAATCATCAGCTATGTGAAAAAATGTTCTATATCACTAATAATGAGAAAAACACAGATTAAGATAATTCTGAGATTCTCATGCCCACCGAATTAACAAAGATGGCAAACATGAAAAGTTGCAATTGTTGGAGAGACTAAGAAAAGGCAGAAACACCCGCTTGATCTCTCAGTCTGCTTCAAGAATGAAGGACAAACAATAACCACAACCAACATCTCTTCATCACCAAATGTCATGGCCTTTTCTTAATCCCTATCCTTCCGGGCCTTTCTGCAGTCTTTGACATAGTTAATTCACTTCTTTTCCTTGAAATTCTCTCTTCTCTAGGTTTTCATGATGATACTCTCTTCTGGTTTTTCTTTTCCCTCTCTGACCAGTTCTTCTCAGTACCCTCTGCTGGATCTTCCTCCAGGTCAAGCCTAGTTAATTGTTGATGTCCCCCAAGGCTCTGTCCTAGGATCTCTTCTTTTTTTCCCTCCATACTATCTCATTTGG